AGATGCTCTGCATCCTCGCCAGCATTTGGCATTATTAGTATTTTTTTATTTCTGTCATTCCAGTAGGTGTGTAGTGGCACATCATCGTGGTTTTAATTTGCATTTTCCTAATGAATGATACTGCTGAATCTGTTTTCATGTGTTTATTTGCTATATGTATATCCTCTTTCATGAAATGTTTACTTTTATTGGGTTGTTTGTTTTTTTTACTGTTGAGTTCTTTATATATTCTAGATAACAGTCCTTTGTTGTTTGATATTTTCTCCAAGTGTATAGCCTGTCTTTTCATCCTCTAAATGGTATCATTCACGGAGCAAAAGTTTCTAATTCTGAAAAAGTCCAATTTTTTTTTTTCAATTTTATGATTCATGCTTTCGGTATCATGTTTAAGAAATCTTTGTCTAACCCCAGGGCACAAAGACTTTCTCCTATTTTACCGTTTATGTCTACAATCCATTTTTAATTAATTCTTGTATAAGGAATGAGGCTTAGGTAGAGTACTTTTCTGCATATGGATGGATAACCAATTGTTCCAACATCATTTATTTATTGAAGACTATTATTTTTCCAATGAATTGCTTTTGTATTTTTGTTAAAAATCAATTAGCCATATTTGTGTGTGTCTGTTTCTAGACTGTCTATTCTTTCCCTTCACCAATAACACACTGTCTTCATTGCTATAGCTTTATAGTAAATCTTACAATCAGGTAGTCAGATTTCTCTGCTTTTTAAATTCAGAACTGTGAAGACAACAATATTGAATAAGGCCAACAAAATCTATATAACAAATTCTAGTTTCAAATTAAAATCAATACTTTGGAAATAGGCCGGGGGAAAAAAAGGAAGAAAAGGAAAAGAGAAAAGGAGTGAGAAATGAAAAAGAAAAGGAAATAAAACGGGGAACATGAGAGTGACATAAAGAGAAGTAGAAACAAAAAAGGAAAAAAAAAAGCAGGGAGACAGAGGTATGGAAAAAAAATTGTTCTTACATTTACATGTTAGATCTCAACCACCAACATCAGAGCCAGTGAAGTCTTGTCTGTAAAGTATGAACACCTTTATTACAACTACCCACCAATGAGGGCCATCAACGGCCAGGTGTAAGTTCCAGCTCAGGGGATCCTCATCCTTCTAAAGAGCTACAATAGGCCAAACATTTTCTCTTTAAGTAGTCCAAACAAATAATTACCATAATGCACACTTCTGTTTCTACATAACCCATTAAATTAGGTTTAAATAATACTACATAATTATCTGTTGACATACATAAATGGACATACCCAATGAGCAGTATGGAATTTCTTTAATACAGTATTCCTGATGTTTTGTTTCATCTTTTTAAAGAGAAAGTCTTTAGTTTTCTGAGAATGAAACAGCTACCCTAGTTGCGTCACGGGGTTGCCATGAAGATCAAATGAGGTCATGGACGTGAAACTGCTTCATAAACTGAAATGTGGTACAGAAACACAAGGTAGTAACAGGAAAAAAGTGGTTCAATAAATGCCTCTGGGCACCTCTCTGAAACATCTCCTCTGATTATTAAGGATATTTGGATATTAGGATCTTGTTTTCCTTTCTTACACACCAAAATTCAAAATATCCTTCTATCTTCTATATCAATGTCAGATTTCAGATCAACTCTTTGATTCTTGAGGGAAAAAAGTCATGGCTAACAATGTAAATGCATTCACACAGCAAATATGGCATACTTTTTTTAAATCATGAAATAAAATTTGGCATATTCCAAAATAGGAGTTTAACTCATCATCTTTTTATGGAATTCTCCAACACATATTATATATATATATGTGTGTATGCATGTGTGTGTATACATATACATATATACAGACATACACACATACGTATCACATAACATCCGTATGGGCAATGTCCGACTGTATACACATCCATGGTCCCGTAAGGTTATAATAGAGTTGAGAAATCCCACTCAGAGAATGGGATGTAGTGGACATAACTGGACTTAGTGAATGCAACAGCTTTCTGCACGTAACACGTGTATCTCACATTCCTTGTATACAAAGCCATTGCACTACCGGTATCCCACGCAGCTTTGCTAAATACATAATATGGTATTCGCACAACATCCAAATCACATAATGTCCTATTTCACAAAACGTATCGTGGACATTAAGCAACGCATGACTGCGTGTGTCTATATATATAAACATATTTATATATATATACACATACACACACACACACACACACACACATACACACATATATGACTCTCTCATTAAAAAAGACATTAAGGGCCTTTAGATTTCATTTCGCATTCTCTAATTATGCCTTTATCTAACACACAGATCCAAGAATGCACCTTTCCCCTGCTATATTTATATAAGTATATATGTTGATTATGTTTACCTTACCTCTTTTGAGGAGAACTTCTTGAAGAGAAGTGATAATTTAATATGTACTATATAGTACTAATTACTAGAACTCTGAAAACACATAAACATGTGATGACTACACCAAAAATTTCTTATTTATTATTCTATGTGCTTACTCATTCATTAATTTATTTGATAAGCTAAGTTAACCTCATGTTGCAGAAGTGAAGGCAGTCTGGCATACCATAAGAACACAGGCTTCGAAGACAGAGACTTCAATTCAAATCCTGACTCTTCCATTACCAGCTGGGTAACGGCGGACAAGAAAGTAACTCCGGCCTTACTAAGTTCCTAATCTTTAAAATTAGGATAATACCACCTACATCTACAGGTGGTGAGTTAAATGATGAGTATGTGACAACCCTGCACATCACTGAGGCTCTAGAAATGTTAGTTCCCTCATTCCCAGCAAGAACTCCTTTCTGTTGTCCTTTCCACATTCTCAATGCTACTTATAAAGGCTCCGCTTACATACAGCGTGACATTTAGAAGCATGTTCCTGAATTTCTCCACCTTATTGACTCTCCATCTATTTTCAGATATAACCTGCCTCTGGTTCATAATCTCCCACCTCTGCTTTCATTGTAACTTTGCAATAGTACTACTTGACTAAGCAAGGCAGCTAGAGATACAGCAGGCATGGCAGAACAACACTGCTCTTTTCTGGAGCAGGAGCATATAATGGCGATTATCTTGAGCATCAATCACAGAAGCCTACATGGGTACAACAGCTGGCTTCACACTCATTAGCTCACTCTCAATTCAAGGCATGTGCAACTTCACAAATGATTTACATGTCTAAATAGATTTCATCCCAGATTAATCTGGGTAATTGGCAAACATCAGTGGTTAACTTATAGAAATTCCACTCGGAAAAATGGAAAGCCATAATGAGTTTTCAGGTATAAATAATGTAGGAAAATGTTGCTCCCTTTATGACTCACCAGTATTCATAAGAGAAATCGGGCGGGGGGGATAATTTTTTTTTAAATGGAGGGATTTAATCTGTCTTGCATACTCTACTTTTTAAAGGGTGGTACATAATTAAATCTCATATTGAAGTGAAACATGTTCTGATAGCCAATGCTTTGTGGTGGGCTCCTAAAAGTACCTATTTTACTTTCTTGGAATTCATAAAGCCTCATGGAACTGAATGGAAGGTTCTCAATTTTAGGTCACAATAGAACAGATTGGAAGTTATTCATCCCAAGGATCTTTTAAAAGTGTTCTAGCTAAATCTTGATTGGGGTACAAAAAAAACCCCACTGCTGTTGGGTCAATTCCAACTCACAGCGACCCTATAGGATAGATTAGAACTGCCCCATAGGGTTTTCAAGGCACGGCTGGTGGATTCAAACTGCCGACCTTTAGGTTAGCAGCCTGAGCTCTTAACCACTGCACCACCAGGGCTCCAAATAATTAAAGTTTCCCAAGAGAAGTAATCACTTGCTAAAGAATCCCTAAGGAAGTACGGCATATGGAACCAAAGACAGAGCTTCCACTGCCTGATGCTAAGTGCTTTGGTCTCAGAATCAGCTGAGATAATGCAAGATCCTAATTAAAAACTAGATCAGCAAAGCCAGAAATACTGCCAAACAGACAGGCAACCAATTGCCCAGATGACAATCTTCGTATCTAAAAGCTAGAGATAGCTGATGAAACTCTATGAGGAAGCTAGAGTCTAAACATACAGAATGTCTATCCTTAGCCCTTGGAGTTCATGACCACCATCACCCTGCTCTGCTGTCCTTCCGAGCAGCTTGTCCAAGAAGGTGCCAAAGTTTATGCTCAAAGCCATGTGTCTAGGGAGCCCAAGATGCCCTCACTCAATGTACTGTAATAATATTCCTTATTTTTTCTGGTGGAGTTAAAAAAAAAAGGGGAAAATTAAGGTCCCACATCCTCCATTTCTTCTCTTAATCCCTCTCAGGTTCTTAGCACTTAGGTAGGACCCTCTGAAGATAATTCAACAATTCCTTTTTTCTATTTAGTCTTGGTAGGTCCCCTCCACTTCCAGCAATAAAACAGCCTAGAGTGTGGCAAGAAGAAAGAAAGTGGGAGCAGAGAGATGTCCATTTTCCCTTGTATTATCATAAAATAGCACTGAAACCTGAGAGAGGAAGGATAGACTGGCACTGCCCGAGTTAATCTGAGATATCAGGGAATTACTAGCACAATTCTTCCTATGGGCCCTGAACTCTGCTTAAAGATCAGATACATCTGCCACTAACCCCCTTAGTACACACCTCCTCATTACTCAAAAATGTTTAGCTCAAAGCTACTGTTTCACCCTTTCAGATTCTCTACGAGAAGTACTACATTACCACTGTGGCCATCTTCCCCGGTGTGCAACAAAAATGAATAGATTTTCTTACAAAAAAATCAGTGCAACAAAAGACTGCTCTGGGGTGCTCTAGGACCAGGAAGAACTGCCATCAGTTTTATTCTAACAGCACAACCACAAATAGAACCATCACTCCCATGGATAAGGTGAATTCTTTCACATCAAGAAGTTTCCGAAGACTTTGACCGGATCCACTCATCCTCCTCAGACTCCTCCCCTCAGGGTTCACACGCTGCTGTTACCTGTACAAATGACTGTTGTCTTCAAAATCTTCCTGGCCCCATTTTCCCTTGATGTCTTCAATGACATGATTCTTCAGGAACTTTTTTAACAGCTGGACTGTTTGTTTGCGGGTCACTTCGGGGCCAAAGTTTTGACTGCACCTCAATAGCTCGTGTAGCCAATCCACAGCTTCCGCCGCTGTGAAGCAATGTTCGTAACTTTTGAAGCGACAACGGTGTTTCCGTAATGGCATTCTAGCACGAAAAAGCTCAACTGTTTCATTCCACTAGGGGGAAAAACAGAAAAAGGCATTTAGTAATCAACTAATTTTCTTAAAAGTTATTACATCCCAAATATTTAAGGCAATGAATGCAATTTTTCCATCTTAAGGGCAGCCTTAATGACAGATGGAACCTTGAAATTTTTTTCATTCAGTCTTCAAACTCTAAAGAAAATGCAGCTTTCTAAAGGTAGTTAATTCATCATTTATTCATTCAAGAAGTATTGATGATATTGCCATCGACTTCTCCTACTATATGAATTTAATGGATTTTAAGTAAATGAAAAACATATGATCATAAACAATGGTAAAACTAAGCCCAATGTACATAACTTACTTCTTAGAGTTCTTATATTTAATATGACTTTACTTCATTCAGCAGATATTGATTACTTATCAGGTGAAAGGCATGTCATTAAAGACAGCAGATAAGAAATACATAAGATGAAGTGCCTGATGTTAAAGAGCTCACCATAAAGACAAACCTTTTAAAAGTAAATAGCCAGAATGCTATGTATATTCTTAACAACAACAAAAAATTAAATTAAATTAAATTTTAAAAGAGCAAAGAATAAGAGGGGGGAAAAAAGTAAACAGCCAGTTTTTGCTTGTATGCAAAGCAAAGCTATTTAAAAGAATGGCTACTAGAGATTCTAAATAATATGTTATTTTAAAAACAACTCTATGGTTAGGAGGCTCTTCAGAAATACGATGTAGAAGCAGTGCGTTGAGTAACTGGGGCTCATGTTAAAGCCAAATATCACAGGGTTCAAATGCCTGCTCTACTACTTACCAGCAGGGCAAGCTCAGACGTGTTACTAAGCCAAGCCTTGATAACTATATTGTTGTTGCGTGCCATCCTGTTGATTCTGACTCATAGCAACCCTATAAGGACAAAGTAGAACTGCCCCATAGGGTTTCCTAGGCTATAATCTTTAGAGGAGCCCTCATGGCACAGTGGTTAAGCACTTGGCTACTAACCCAAAATGTCAGCGATTCAAACCCACCAGCCACTCCACAGGAAACAGATGTGGCAGTCTGCTTCCGTAAAGATTTGCAGCCTTGGAAACCCTATGGAGCAGTTCTACTCTGTCCTATAGAGTCGAGTCGGAATCGACCTGACAGCAGTGGTTTAATCTTTATAGAAGCAGACTGCCAGCTCTTTTCTCCTGAGGACGGTTAGCAGCCCAGTTCTTAACCACTGCACCACTAGGGCCCCTGATAGCTACATCAGACCCAAACCAAATCAAAAAA